AAAAAAAATGTTAAAGCTTGTATCAGGACTATCTTTATGTCCTCAGACATGGTTATTTCTCTCATCATTCCTTTAGATTTATGTGCAGGAGCTGCTAAGACCCTTTCACAAATAATGGCCTGTGACACCCTATAAACTAAAAATGTTCCAAATGACACATTATGCAAATTTTTCATCTTAAAATACCAACAGCTCCTTCTCTTCCTATTTTTTCTGCCCTTTAATAGCCCCACTTTCATTGCACTCACATGGAAGTCATTGGTCACTCTTCCTTACTATGTGGTGATATACCAAATTCTGTCAAGTGTTATTTTATGCTATGCCTTGTATCTTTCTCTGTTTTGTTTTTTTGTTTTTTTTCTACCTTCATCATTTCTCAAAGTCAGGTTCTTTCTATTGTTCTCTGGAACAATTAATAACTCTCAACTGTCCTTTCGCCTCCATTGCTCTTTATCTTTTACACTGCACACCAAAAATACCTTTCTAATACTGATAGTCATATCACTGCCCTCTCAAAATCTGTTAGCCATATAGAATGAAGATCACAATCCTTAGTGTGGTATTTCAAGACTGTTTGTCTCAGTTCCCAAGACAAGACCTTTCACCTCCACCTGTCATATCAACTTGCTCCCTGATTATGAAATGTATTATGCATGTACTCTCATGATCTCAGGTTGTTTCTTCAATTTGAATGTCTTTTTCTCTCTATTTACATAGTTTTATTCTTTTTATTTTTTAGTTTTTTTTTTTTTTTTTTTTTTTATTCACTCGGGACACAGAGATACAGAGAGAGAGAGAGAACATGAGCAGGGGGAGAAGTGGGCTCCCTGCTCCTGGGATCATGACCTGAGCCAAAGGCAGACGCTTAGCCATCTGAGCCACCCAGGCGCCCCCACATAGTTTTATTTTTTACCTCTCAATTAAATGACGCCTTTTCAGGGGAGGCCTCATTATACTCTAGTTAGAGTTAACATTTTTTCCCCACTTTCTTCCTATAATGCATTTCTTGAATCTCCAAGCAACATTTATTTATTTTATTTTAACATAATGATTTATACTTGAATTCTTCAGTCAGATATCCCTGGATTCAAATCCTGCCTCAACTGCTTATTGCCTCCACATTTCTGGGCAACTGATGTCATTTTCTAACCTGCTTCCTCATCTGTTAAATTGAGTTAATATTTGTACCTAGTTTGAGTGTCTCTTTTTATGTGAAGTCTGATGACACAATGCCAGCATGATAGACTGCATTGTGTATTCTGGGTAGTTGCCCAATTGGCTTTGTCCCCCAGTAGATAGTAATCACTTTGAGGGCAGGAGATTAATCTTGCTCATCTTAGTACCCAAAAGAAAATCTCATACTCTCTTTTACTTTTCCTAGCCATGATTCATGGAACATTTAAACTTAACTCATTAGAATTAACCTATTAATTTTTTTGCTATATTATCGCGTTCCACAAAGGAATTGGGATGACTTAGGAGATGCATCAAGAACAAAAGTATAAAACATAAATAAAATAGTAGTAAGTGCATTTTGAATAATTGAAGAGTTTAATTTCACCAAAGTGAACCGAAGGGAAACAAAAGCTATAGATGAGAAAATGTTAACGCTTGTCTTCATTGTGTCCTGTTTTGTAGGATCTCGTCTTCGCCAGGAAGACTTCCCCCCACGGATTGTGGAGCACCCTTCAGATGTCATTGTCTCTAAGGGAGAGCCCACCACTTTGAACTGTAAGGCAGAGGGCCGGCCAACGCCCACCATTGAGTGGTACAAGGATGGTGAGCGGGTGGAGACTGACAAGGATGATCCCCGGTCTCATAGGATGCTTCTGCCCAGCGGATCCTTATTTTTCTTGCGCATTGTACATGGGCGCAGAAGCAAACCTGATGAAGGAAGCTACGTCTGTGTTGCAAGGAACTATCTCGGTGAAGCAGTGAGTCGAAATGCATCTCTGGAAGTGGCATGTAAGTAAACATAATGAATCTCATAAATAGCACACATTTTTACTTTGATTTATTTTTAGTAAGCTTTGATTTGTCCCCATGGGTACTTTATACCTAAAGAAGAAAACAATCAACATGCCATGCATAATTTTACTTTGCCTTCTCCAAAGAAAGCTCGTCAAAATAATGTCAAGCCATGGTGTTGCAATAAACTTACTTTTCTTGAAGCAAGGTGGAAATTATGTTTTTACATTAAAGCCAAGTGGCCATGGTGCTGGTCATATTTAAAATTCAAATTGTTGATGAGAGATATAGTCAAATATTAAAGTCACCTATGTTAAAATGAAAAGTTGACATGTAACGTGGCATCAAATATGGGGCATAAATTCAATATTCTACCTATTTCTGTTATCTATATATAACTGTTGTATATATTATATTATACATATATTTCTAAATCTAATTTTTATCAAACAACTTTAAAAAGAATATACTCCTTAGGTTATATTAGCTCTTTTACTTCCGGTCTGAATTCAGGATTCATTACCATAGGCATGTGGGGGAGAATATAGGAGCAATAACAGCAACTATATTTATTTTTTTTTTCTATCAATAAAACTCATCAAAGAAGAGATCTGATTTTTGTGGGCACAAAATGTTCATACATGAAAGGGTCTTGCTCAGTCTTGGTAATCAACAATAGTTAAGGGCTTGCCCTGCCTCTGACATTTAAAAAAATACATTTATTTATTCATCAGACAGCCCAAATAGCACTAGTAAATCAAGATATCAGTGTTTTGCATCTGTTTGAACATTGACTTCATAACTTCATGCATCTTTTTCCAAAACAAATTAAAATATATGACAGATATTTTTTTGGTTTATAGATAAGAATTTGATGTCATAATTTAAACAGTACCATAAACTTTTGATATTATTTATTCTGCGGAAAGATTTTATGTGGAATTGATCATTAATAAGATGGTAACAATTGGGCATAAAAAAAGTTGTACTTTTCAGTTTTCGTGTTGTACCAGGTCTTCATAGCTAAGAAGACTGAGTTACTTCAAGATGCATAAGTCTTATTTATATAGCTGGAAGGGGAGTGCTAAATGATAGCTTGTGGTCTCATGTCTGTAATTAAACTTGGTCCTTGTACTCACAGGCTACATGGTATCAGACTGCATTATAAAACTTGTGTACATGTGTATTGCAATTCTCAGCAATTTATGAAACCATCTTTTAGTAAACAAAGTCATACTATTTCTTCTTCAGCTACCTCAATGAAAGCTTTTGTTCTCAAGTATCTGGTCTTTTGATTTACAGTTTGTACCAGGAAATCTAAAACCTACTAATGCTTGAAGTGTGTAAATCCAGTAGGAAAAGACTAGAAGAATCCTAAAACCCAAATTTGTTTTGTGAGGTACTTTGAGATAGGAGCATTAGAACCTTAGCTAACGTGCTCGCTTCGGCAGCACATATACTAAAATTAGAACCTTAGCTAGCAAGGCAATTTTGTACACAGGCACCAGGTAATTTCATTTTTATATCTTAGTTCAAAAAAGCAGTCAATTTAAATGCAGTTTAGTGAGATTTGAAATATGCACACAAAACCTCAAGAATAAATATTCCTAACTCTTCTATTTTTAATTTGAAATATGTTATTCCTGGAATTCAAACATATTGAAATATTTCAATGTCAAATTCCATTGATCTCCACCCCTACCAAATCCCTTTATAGTAAATATAACAGGCATTATTCTCCCATTTTAGAGATAAAATGAAACCCATGATGGTTAAGTGATGAAGAGTCAGGCAGTAAATTAATGGGGATTTGAAAACCAGATCTTGATTCTTCTAATTTTTAGTTTTAGGGAATTGTGCCATATTCAGGAAAACACTCTAAATGAAATTTGGCTGATCACATAAATAACAATTAAAATTTTTTAATCGAAACTTTATTATTTTATCTACTCAGCAGCAAATATATATTTTTAATTCTCAACTCCCTTTTCTTCTTAATATTAAAGTTTACCTAAATTGGTCAGTCATTTTATTGTTGGGCAGCTATAAACATTTTTTCCCCCTGAACCTTAGCTTTTTAAAAATTCTTCCCAGCACACATACATCTTATATTTTTATTTAATCTGAAGATTGCTCTTTCCTAATTGCATCATTAATAATGATTCAAGCTGTTTTAGGAGGAAAATTTTAAACCATGATTTTTTTCTTGTGTAATGTGACAGTAGCACTTTTTATTTTTAAATCAATGAGCTTTGAGAAATGCTAAAAATACTTTTGACCTAGAGAGGAAAACAAGAAAGCTTCTAAATTGGATTTAGCTAGTGAATAAAATTCTTTCTTCTAATGCCGTGTCAACAGTTCATGCCATTTGAGGCAACACAAGATCAAATAATACCCATTTATATGCTACTCATCTCTTTCGCATTAGATCATCAGTCATCTCTCTTTCCTTATGTGTTTCATAAAATGTATTAATATGGAAATTTGGGTCAAAGCATTGTGCTTTTTCAGTATTATTTGTTACTAAAGTATGTATTTTTTATAAAATGATAGAAGAGTAGCTATAGATTAGATCAATGTTTGGCTTTCATAATTTAGAACACTCAGCATAAAAGCTCAATCATGACATGTCACTGTTTCATCCAGTAAAGGAAAGAATGGAAGTCTAATGGCGCTGTGTATTTGGAGAACTGTAGGTAGCTTGATATAAGCTAGGTGAGCAACATAAGTTGGAAAAGTAGATTTTTTGTTACATAAAAGGAGTCTTTGAAAGAGAATTGAAGACCAGGTTAAGGGGATGGTGATTGAAGTAGAGAGGAGTTAAGAAGCTGTCAAATGAAAGGCGTATATGTTCGATTTTGAACTGAAACTAGCAGTGAAGATTGAAAGAAGGGAATAGTTTGAATCAGATTTAGAAATTATAAATCATATCACTTTATGGTCAGTTTAGGGACTTAGGGCATAATGGATGATTCCCAGTGTTTGATTTTTTTGTTTTGTTTTTTGTTTTCCACTGAGTGAGTAGGTATATAGTGCTACACCCATAGGGATGGCAGGTATAGGAGAAATAACTGCAATAGGAACAGAACAGTGAAGTCAGCTTTGACTGTATTATGTAACATGCCAATGAGACATCAAGGTAAAAATATCTCATGTTCCATTGAAAAGGGAACTTGTCTTTACGACATGGAGGATAAAGTGGTGGGAGTAGATAAAGTAGAGATGATTGCCCAGGCAGGCTCTGTGCCAGGAGTGGTTAATAAGGGCTGAGATCACTCCCCGTGTCTTCGAACCCCAATATTTAAGGATGAGCAAAGGAAAGAAGTGCTGGTTGAGGAGGCTTTGAGGAGGTATCAGAGTGATGGCCGATGGGGAGTGAAGTGACATGAAGAACAAGGAAACAATTTTAAGAAAGAAAAAGTGTTTTGCAATGCCAAGGCCACATGATGGTTAAATAAGAGGTACTCTGTGGACTCTAGGAATGGAAAGAGAGCATGGCAGCTGAAGAAGGAGTAAGTGGTGGAATTGGAGTGGCAAATGCTGCCGTTCTCCTAAGAATTTAGCCCTGAATGGAGTGTGAGCAAACTAGAGCAAGCTATCCAGGTCTCTGCGCTATGGCCATTTGGGGTTGGATATCTCTTTTTTGTGGGGCTGTGCTCTGCATTGTAGGATGTTTAGCTGCATCTCTGGCCTTTGCCCAGGAGCTGCCAAAAAGACCCCCCAACCGCAGTTGTGACAACTAAAAATATTTCTGGACACTGCCAAATATCCCCTGGGGGGTCAAAATCAGTTGAGAATTACTGATCTCCGGTATCTAGGTAATTAAGAGTGTTTGGATAAGTAGCAAACAAACTTGTTACAACTTTTATTGTGAAATATGATTATTGATAAAAAAATATGGGCATTTTTGGACTCTCCTTGCTTCACCTTGGTTTTCATTTTCATTTCAAAAATCTTGGTTTCTGCTGTCAGATGAAATGTACAATTGTATTGATAACCGTCTGTCTTGACAGGTTGTTGAGAAAGAAGCCTGTTCTTTACCATACTGTACATGGTCTCTTTTTTGTTTTCCTTTAATACAAACATCAGTTTTATGTAACAGAATAATACAGTGGAGGGAAAAAATATTCAAGAGCAACCATTGATATGGAGTGTTGAATCACTTATCTCATATTTACTTTTTCCCTCGTGGTTTGAAAAGAAAAATAGTCAGAAAGTATCTTTCAAATCACTTGAACTCAAGAAAGGTCTTTAGGTGAAAGCAATTTTTACATATTAGAAAACAGAATTGCAGGGTCCCCAGCAAAGCCCCTGGCACCGAAAAAGTTAATATGCATTTTTCTGATGAGACCACCAAGAGAGCAGAGGAGTAGCTGGGGCAGATAGGATTTCAGTTTGAACACCAGTTCTCCCTGTGTTTGGAGCAGAAGGAGCACAGGGGTCCTTCCACATTTCGTGGCTGCCTGTGATACAGTGTGAGTCAGTGGCAGCCCCTAGAGATAGCAGCTGTAGCCCCAGGTGGTAAATATATGACAGCAGCTTGATCTATCGACCAGGGTAAGAGGGGGTTCTGGCCTAAATGAAAATTCATGAAAAATTGATGAAGTCCTCAGATTATGTTTTCTGTTTCCTTTTCTCAGCACTATACCAGTGTAGAGAGGAGAGATTAAATGAGGTGCTGAACGCTTTAGTGGCAAGGAGGTTGTGGTTCAAAGGTCAGGGGTCATAGAGAATCCGATCTATTTTTTTTTTTTTTGCTTTCCTTCTAAAGCAAAACACAGAAACTTTTCATATAGGCTGTGATTTGATTTTGCTTTGATAAAAATAAAATAAAATGGTGAAATATTCAAAAATTGGCTTTTGATGAAACTACAAAAGGTGGACAGATATGATTCATAATTTAATTGGGGAACTAGAAATAGATTGGATTCCATGACTGTGGGATGATTTTTTTCTTTTTCTTTTTTTTCTTTCCTTTTCTTTCTTTCTTTCATGTA